TGGTTTATATGGCCCTTTCTGTCTCTTGGGCTAATACTTTCCTTGTGTCTTTGGTGTTCTTAATTCTCCTTTACTCCAGGTGGTTGGGACCAATTGCTGCATCTTAGATGACAGCTTGCAAGCTTTTAAGACCCCAGACGCCGTTCACCGAAGTAGGATGCAGAACATTTTCTTAATGAGCTTTGTTATGCCAGCTGACCTAGATGTCCCCTTATTTTGTTTGTTCTCTTGTTTGATTTCCTGGAGACCCTAGAACAGAGTGCCTGTGTCCCGTTTTGCCTGTGAAGCAGGAGAAGAACCGGCCAAGAAAATCCCAGGCTTGCCTGAGGACAGAGACACTGTGTGGTGGGGTGGAGACCTCAGCCATAAGCAGTGAGAGGCCTCAAAATATTGAGAGAATTTATAGAGTTCTTCATTCAGCACATACCGAATGTCTGCCAAGAGAGGCAGCGTACTCGGTGCTGGGAATCAACAAGACCTGGTCTTAGTCTCAGTTCTCTTCTGCTGTACAACTAAGGTGTTCACCACCTTTGAACCTGTCATGAATCGTGTAGTTCTCCTCTAAGTATTTCATTTACTTTCTTCTGCTTCCAGGCCAACACATATGAAAAATACTGGCCATTTTACCAGAAGCATGGAGGCCATTATTTTCCCAAAGAGCATTTGCAAAAGGCCGTTGCTGAAATTGAAGAAATGTGCAATATTTTAAAACTGGAGGGAGTGACAGTAAGGAGGCCTGACCCTATCGACTGGTCACTGAAGTATAAAACTCCGGATTTTGAGTCTACGGGTGAGTGATAACTGGTAACTACTAGTGTCTTAAAATTGTTTATTTCTTTTCTACTGTATCAGGGGAAAACTTTGATAATTTCTCAGAGATTCTTTTGTTTTAATAATCCTTCAAAACTTTAAAGATTTATTTAGGAACAGTTTTTAACTCTAGAGAGGCGTAAGTTTGGTTCTTTTTGACGTGATTAAGATGTGCGCGTTATAAACGCCATTGTAAATCTGGAATTTCCTTGAGAGAAGCTGTCTTTCCTAAACTTCATAATCATTTATTTTCATAAGAATGGTGGGTTCCAATTAATTTTTCCTCAAGAATGGAAATTAAGAGGGGAACAGAAACATTCTCATTTTATTTTTAACTGACATTGTTGCAAGACTGTTCTTGTGTCTGAGTTCGTGTTCTAATTGATAGTTCTATAAATGATCCTTGGCCCAAATTTTATTTTGTGATACTGATACTCCATGAAGATCCCTGTTTCTGTGTATCAAGAAAGGAGCTTAAAAATGGTGGAAACCTGGTGGTTCAGGACCTCTTTGAGCAAGGACCTTGGTGCTTCAGTTTTGTTTTTCTTTTCCCTTTTATTACTTGGCTTTGCACCTCCACACACAATTCCTGCTAACAGTCTAGCGTGTGTCATTTCGTGTTTTTCCATTTTCACATGATTGTACAAGTATATACACACGTATAGAGTTTTTAGTAATTTTTTTTACCAAGCAAATGGGATCATATTATATAGTCTTTCCTGTCTTGGAAATTAGCATTACTGAGGTTGCCCTGGAACTTCTTGGCCTGACAGGTTTATATGGTGCGATGCCTCGAGACATCCTGCTGGTTGTGGGAAATGAGATTATCGAGGCTCCCATGGCGTGGCGCGCGCGCTTCTTTGAGTACCGTGCATACCGGTCAATCATCAAAGACTACTTTCAGCGTGGCGCCAAGTGGACAACGGCTCCTAAGCCCACAATGGCTGATAAGCTTTATGACCAAGTAAGTCCCTAACGATAGGTTGCTTTATGAATAAATTTTCTAGATAATCCACAAAGGGTAAGAGATTCTGTTGTACCTTGTACATATTAAATATTTCAGAAACTGAGAGCATCACCTATTTTTTTTTTAAAATGATTGTTTTATGAGGAAAATAAAAGTAAATGACATTGTAATAAAAATAGTAACAGCAACAATAACAGTAGCAGCTAATATGTACTTGGTTCTTACCACGTGTGAGGTCCTAGATTACGCGGATTATTTACATCCCCGCTGTCTTTATTTCTCCCCACAACCTTTTGAGGGAGCAGTATCATTCCATCACAGGAAAGCAAACTTCCCTCAGGGCACACAGCTGTTAACTGGTGCAACCAGGAAAGTCGCTAGGCTGAAGTCCATTCTCTTCATTTAGAAAAAGAACTTGGTCTACAGGAAAAATTCACAGTAGGATGATGCCTATGTCCCTTATACTTTTTGATCAATTATAGAAAGAATCAAAAAATCAAAATTTCTTCCAGAGTTTAAAGACAGAAATAAGTAATGAATTAATTCTACCACACTCAGTCAGATTTGGCAAGGAATACAAGGCATGTCGTTTTATGGTGCATTAGGCTCAGGTCAAAATTCCTTTTCTGAAAGAACAGAATGACTTCATCTTGTTGAATTTCAATATTGTAGATAGCTACGTAAATCAATGGATGGGTCATGGAATATTTTTAAAATCAAGCACTGCCCTTTGCCCTTGTACCACTTGCTTCTGAATATTACAAAATTGCTGGCCTGCCTAGTTTTTTATTTTTGTTGTTGGGTTTGTTTGTTTTCGTTAGCATGGACCTACATCTTTCCTATGCATGTTTGAGTCTAGAACTGAGTAGTAGTATTGTGGGAAATGATGAAATTGAACTAGTTTTCTTAGTAATAACATTATAAATAATTTTCTCATGCACCAATACATTGTATGTTTATTGTTGCTCCAATTAGGATTACCCCATCGATTCTGTGGCAGACAGACACAAATTGGCTGCTCAGGGAAAATTTGTGACGACTGAATTCGAGCCCTGCTTTGATGCTGCAGACTTCATTCGAGCTGGAAGAGATATTTTTGTACAGAGAAGCCAGGTTGATAAAGGCTGCCTCTGAAATCTCATAATACACTACTGTATTTTTTTTTTTAATGAAAGTATTTTCATCCTCAATATTTTTAGTTATCTAAACATAGAACCGCATTTTTATATTACATGTCTTCCTTTTATTTTCAGGTTACAAACTACCTGGGTATTGAATGGATGCGTAGGCATCTGGCGCCGGACTACAGAGTGCATGTCATCTCCTTTACAGATCCCAATCCCATGCATATCGATGCCACCTTCAATATCATCGGACCTGGTCTTGTGCTCTCCAACCCTGACAGACCATGTCACCAGGTAAGGGAGTTCTAAGGACTCTGGAAAAGTAGTCGAGTCTAGCAACTGAAGCCATTGCCACTCTTAACTTTAAGCTCTTTCACGGTTCCTGTGTGCTTCTAAATGACGAATTGAGCCGTGCCCCCCATCATTGTGCTCAGTCGTCGGATGGCTTATTCCGTGTTTACTACAAGATGTCCAGCACTCAGAAATATCCATTTTAGTGCCATCAGACCTTGACTTTGGCTGCTTGCTGTCATCGGTCTCACCTCTGTGTGCATGTGTGTGTTTTTGTCAAACAGAATGGTATTTTGTCCCAGCAGCTGAGTGGCAAAGGCAATCCCTGCATGCCTGGAGCATTGCCCCTGGGCAGCAGGTGTTGTCTTTGCTCTCTGGTGGGTTTGGGCCCCCTCAGCCAGCTCCACCCGCGGGGAGGAGCAGAGCAGCTGCGGTGCACCTGGTCTCCCCCCGCCACCCACAGAGAGGAGCAGAGAGGCTGCAGCGAGGCTGGTCTCTCCCCACCACCTGCAGCCTCCTGCTTCTACCTGCTGCCCCCACCTTCCATTCGGGCGATGAGTTATTTTGTGTTATTTGCTAGGCCACGGTACATCTTTTAAAACGTGTACCTTATCATCCCATGTCACTTCATTTCTAGTCCATATTTTTAGACCCAATTTTATTTTAATTTATTGGTAGACTAAGTGGAAATGTGAACATATGGAAGCCTGCGTTGTCAGTGGTCATTAAGGACAGCTGTGGTTCTTTAGAGCACATCCCTACACTGTCTTTCTCCCACGGTCACAGACACTAAGTAATAGACTGTGAAGTGAGTGAAGTGAAGTAGGCCAAAGTGGATGGACTCTAGGTTGGACCTAGTCAGATTTTTTTATTTTCTTGTGACTAAAGAGAAAATCTTTTCATTTTCTTTAATGAGAGTTTCTCTAAGAAAGGATCTGTGGTGTTTTAAAATCTCTAAAACCTGAGAACAGCGTGCGAATATCTTTAAAAGCTTTAACATTTCTATTCCTTTTTAACTTTACTTTGAGGGTTTTATGTACATTTTTAATTAGGATTCAGACAAAATCATCCAAATGTTTTTAAATTTTAATTTTCTTTATTTTTAGCAGTTGAGAAAACAGCTTCTCAAAAAGAGTTACGAATGGTAAGAGTTATCCGAGACCAAGAATGATAAGAATAATGTATAGATGTAAACATCTTTGGGTTTGTGTGCGTGCATGTGTCTTACAGATTGATCTTTTCAAGAAAGCAGGATGGAACATAGTTATTCCTCCGTTACCAGTCATCCCAGATGGTATGTTTACTTTTATGTATTTATAGACTAAAATGATTGCTTTAATAATCAAGCATCTTTTGCATATGGGAGCAGCCCAAATTTTAGCAATTTAGAGAAAACATTTTCCCAGTCAGAAGTGGTGTTTGGGACCAGGACTTGTGTTCACAACCTCTCCTTCTATAGTAATTGAAAGTAAAAAGATGGGGGGAAATCAGTATAAGACACCAATACTTAAAGCAAGAAATGACTTTAAAAAAAAAACAAAACGGTGAAATCCAAATGTGTAATGAGTATGGATTGATTCATAACATTTACAAATAAGTTAGTCCTAAGATTGAAATAAGGGCTCACAGGGAAGGTGAACTACTGAAAGAATTGGCCTGTCACCTTAATATTCTTCACTTGTGAGTTCCTGCTTTAAACAAAATGATACAAACAAATGTGATATGAGAGTTTTTTTTTTTCTAGATCACCCACTCTGGATGTCATCCAAATGGCTTTCCATGAATGTCTTAATGCTAGATGAAAAGCGTGTTATGGTGGACGCCAATGAAGTTCCAATTCAAAAGATGTTCGAAAAGCTGGGTACGTACAATAAACGTAACACTTTGTCATACGTGAAAACATTAAAGTAGAAGAAGTAAATGAATGACGTGCTAGGTCTAATGTATAGTTTATCTAATTCCATTTTCTATTCACTTTAGAGGCACCAAGTTATTATTTTGTAGATAGACAGTGTTTTTGTTTTTAACAATCATGGAAAGTTGGAGATGCATAGGGTGCCCCTGAGACACCACTCAGCTGCCAGTTTATCCATCTTCTATGCCTTACCTGGAAACCCTGGTGGTGCAGTGGTTAAGAGCTTAGGCTGCTAACCAAAAGGTCGGCAGTTCAAATCCACCAGGTACTCCTTAGAAACCCTATGGGGCAGTACTGCTCTGTCCTCTAGGGTCTCTATGAGTCAGAATCGACTCGATGGCAATGAGTTTTTTTTATGACTTACCTAACCTCCTGCTGCCTGTGTTTGCAGAACTGCCCCTTTTGCAGATGAGAATATAGATTGTTCAGTTCATCCTCAAATAAGACGTTGTTGAGAGTCCTTTAAAAGTAATTTAATCATCATCACACATTTTAAAGGGCTTAAAAGGACACCTCATGCACAGCCACCACCCTTCTGTCAGTAGAGGTTTGAGTCTTGCTATGATGCTGAACAGATTTCAGCAGAGCTATCAGACTAAGATGGACTAAGAAGAAAGGCCTGGATATCTACTTCTAAAAATCAACCAGTAAAAACTCTGTAGATCACAACAGTCCAGTCTGCAGCTGATCTGGGGATGGTGCAGGACCAGGCAGTTTCATTCCGTTGTATTTGGGGTCATCATGAGGCAGGGGCGACTCAGTTGTAGGTAGAAACAACAAGGATACCAGTACAGAAGTGATTTACATGTGTGGTAAGCACAGTGAATCAAGTAATGAAACGCAGTAGACAGTGTTAGTAAATCATTCCACTTTGACAATTTGTCTTTGAACTAAAAAGCAGAACTGGTTTTTACTTGGGTGGGAGTTTGCTTATCCTGATATTCAAAATTTAGACCAATGATCCTAATACTGTTGAAGAAAATGTTGAAGGAAAGGATTTAATATGAGCTATTGTACATGTGCGTATATTGATCACTCTTAACATACTTAACATATCCTGTGTCAATTACATAAAGCCAGTCTGTATACTTATTGAAATTTAAGTTTTTTTTTTAAATTTATGACTTATATTTCAGGTATACTACTCAAAAAAAATTTTTGGGCCTCTTCGGCACATCCCTTCTTAATGGCCTGTTGGTTTTAGATTGTGCTCAATCTAAGTATTTAACCCCTAATGTAATGTCACATTTTTTTTCTGGCTTTCATTAAATAACCCAATTTCTTGGGTGTAATTTCTTTGTCTATTAAGACTGTATTGTTTCTCAACTTGAAATATTGTAAGATGCCAAGTATGATTTATAATTTTATTTTAAATACTTAAAGTCTTTTTTGGCACAGAGAACTTGATAAAGGAAACTGAACTCCCTCCCATTCAGGGTTAATACTGCACTAGCTGTCTGCGTAAGATGGCACTCTTTCTCTATCAGGAAACACGTGCTTGTGGGTCAAAGCCCACCCCTTATCCTAGTCCCGCTCCTTGCCCCCATCCAAGCCCTGTTCTCTCTCCTCAGACCCCTCATCAGTCTTACTCTCTCAGCAAAGTCCTTCACCGGTGACTCATCCCTATAAACCATGGGCCCTTTATCGCCTCTGTAGCCTATCTTCCCCCTAAAAATAATGAGTTCTTTGAGGGAAGAAGGAGTCCCTGGGTTGTGCAAATAGTTAATGAGCTCAGCTGCTAACCAAAAGGTTAGAAGTTCAAGTCCACCCAGAGGTGCCTTGGAAGAAAGTCCTGGTCATCTGCTTCAGAAAAATCAGTTATCAAAAACCCTCTGGAGCACAGTTCTACTCTGAGACGCATGGGTTTGTTATGAATCAGATTGACTCCATGGCAACTGGCACTGGCTGAAGGAGGGGAATAGGTTTTCGTTTTTAAACTGCATTATGCTTAACTTGCACAATGGTTAAGCAGTTGGCCGCTAACCAAAAGGTTAGTGGTTTGAACCCACCAGCTGCTCCGTGGGAGAAAAGATCTGGTGATCTGCTCTCGTAAGGATTACAGCCTAGGAAACCCTATGGGCCAGTCCTACTGTCTCCTATAGGTTGGAGTCGACTCAACAGCACGCAACACCATGCCTAACACAGGTCCCTGGGTGGCGCAAACAGTTTACACTTGGCTGCTAACCAGAAGATTGGTGATTTGAATCTACTCAGCGATGCCAAAAAAGAAAGGCCTGGCAGTCTACTTCTGTAAGATTATAGCCATTGAAAATTCTATGGAGTGCAGTTCTACATGGACACATGGGGTTGCAATGAGTTGGAATTGACTCAAGGGCTACAGATTTTGTTTTATTCCTGACACAGGAGATTCTTCCTAAATACTGTTGGTTGATTGGGCCGTGCACATCACAACATGTGATTAAAATACTAGCTCAGTTCTGCTGTTCCCTTAAGGTGGCCTGGTAAAGTTAATCTGTGTCAGATAAACTCTGCTTATATGTGAGTATCTAAAGTCAACTTTTCAGGTTGGCTAAATTATACTTTTCCAACAAAATTAACAGTAAAATTAGAAACAGTCTGACAGACTTAAAGCATAGCTCTAAAAGGCTTGAAACTTTAGTGCTTTATCATTTTTGAACATTTGGTGGGTATGTCTGCTCATCCAACTTACTGACTTTTGAATAGTCAATTGAACACAGTGTCCAAGTCTGTCTAATTTTTGGTGAAGATTTTGTATTAGCAGTGGAATAGACGAGATGAAATATAAATGGTGAAAATAAAATTGAAAGAGAAAAGGCTATCCTCGGTTGGGGTAGACTTCAGGATTGGAACCGTAGGATTCCCACCAGTCTTTAGGCTTACTGTAGATTCGAGAATTTTCATGTCAGTCCCTCTAAATAACCACGGCTCTCTCTTTCAATGCAGGTATCAGCACCGTTAAGGTTAACATTCGTCACGCCAATTCCCTAGGAGGTGGCTTCCACTGCTGGACCTGCGATGTCCGCCGCCGAGGCACCCTGCAGTCCTACTTTGACTGACCAGGCCAGATGGAGCTTAGTGGCTTGGTCTCAAACCAGGAAGCTTAGGGGCAAGGTTCATTCTCCCGCTTTAAAAAGTGCATGAACTTTAGTGCTTTAAACAATCATCCTTAACAGGGGTCTTAAGCCTGGTTTACTTTTGTTACTTTTCTTTGACATCTTACTATCTACTTCTAAAGTTATTTACTACTTGGCTTCAAGTATAAAAATTTGATGAATGTACCAAGACAAAAATTAGTCACTTGGGTAACTTGGCCACTAATATTTAACCATCTACCTCTGTTTTTTAATTTTTTTCCAAAAGGCAGCTTGAAATGTTGTTCTAATCTTATTTTTTTTTTCCTGTTTGGTAGAGTTGTGAATGTTGTATAGCACTTCTTTTTTTCTAAATGAGACAAAGACTTAGAATTACACAGATCTTAAGTGGAGTCAGATAATTGTCTCCTTTTCTAATAAGAAATTTTGGTAATTTTTAGTTTTTTTTTTTTTTAAAGAAATAACATAGACTATGCAAACACTAAGTGAATTTTCCATGAATGTTTTTAATATGCTCATCTCAACGTTGGTGATATTTGCTACTAAAAACCTTTTCATACAACTCACCTCGTTTCAAGTGAATTCTTTTAATCAATTTTCTTTTTCCAAAATTCTACAGAAATGTTCAGTGCAATAGGATATAACTGTGAGTTCCTATCTCAAGCTGAGTTCTCCAGAGAAGTGTGTGTGTGTGTGTGTGTGTGTGTGTGTGTGTATGTGTGTATAAAAAGAGAGAGAGATTTATGGAATCATAAAATGGAAATTCAAGGAAATGGCTCATGTGGTTGTAGAGGCTGGCAACTCCCAAGTCTGTGGGTCAGGCATCAGGTTGGAGGCGTCTCCTGACTCACGTAGCTGCAGGGATGATGAACCCAAGATTGGCAGGTAAAATGGCAGGCTGCTCACAGGCTGCGGAGGCTGATGAATCCCAAGACCAGCAGGCAGTACGGCAGGCCGCTGGCTCAGGTTCCAAGAACTGGAAGTCAGATGTTGATGAGCAGGATGCAGGATCCGGAGCAAGCAAAAGCCAGTGAGCTTTACCAGAATGCCCATATATATTGGATCCAGGCCACACCTCCAAGGAAACTCTCCTTACAACTGATTGGCTGATCACATCAGATCACATCATGGAGGTAATTACATTATATTACAAAATGGAGGATAGCTACATCATTACGTAACTACCAGACTACATCATTAAAAACATAACTGCCAAACAACTGAGAATCATGGCACAGCCAAGTTAACATACAACGTTAATGATTACAGTCTACCTCTTGCCAACCTGGCTCATGGACACATGTCCTTAAACCATACAGAATCTCTAAATAAGAATTACAAAGTCATACTTGTGCCTAACATACAACTAACATGTACAGCTGAAACGCACTAGCCCTGTTTATATCTCATATTTTATAATTGAAGAAAAAATACTTGATACATACAAGGAAGGAATACTCAGAACAATTACAGTCCTCTTTTCTGCAATTGATCACGTGGTCATAAAAGGTATTTAGAACTACTTTCTTCCACCACCCATTCTGCATTCCCTTTACCCTCAGCAAGCCACCTCAGCTGGTTGTGGTTCTTCACCTGGTGGAGTGACTCAAACCTTCATTCCTGAAGGGTCTGGGTCATTAGTAGTCATGTCAGAATTGGGTTGCTGTAGTTTTCCATTGACTTTAACCATAGAACATGGTAAGTACTAAGTACTAGGGGATCTCCTATATTCCAGACACACTCTTTTTTACCTCTGTTATGCAACATCAATCTAATTTCCACTTGGTAGTTAGTGTCAGAGGTATCAGCCAATATGGTAACTTCCTTGCCTGTTGATCCAGAGGCATGAGGAACCAAAAGTGGTTGGATGGCATTCTTGAACTTCCAGTTCAGTGAGATCCTTGTGTCTCCATGTGGGAGCATTTCTCCCTTTGGTACTAAGACCTCTAGATCTGCAGAGCATAGGGTCATGGGGACAGGACGCGAAAATTTTGTGAGTGGGTCAGAAGGGGTAATAGTGGTGCCATTCCCATTTCCATCCCTGGATTCCTGGATCTATGAATCCTGGCTGTGGGAGAAACAGCACCATATATATTGGATAATGGTTTAGAGCATATACTGCCTCCTGGAGAACATTGCCTCAACCTTGCAAGTTATTGTCACCTAGCTGGCACTGTAATTGTGTCTTTAGAAAGCCTTTCCATTGTTCTGTCAAGCCAGCTGCTTCAGGATGAAGGGAAACATGGTAAGACCAGTGAATTCTATGAGCACAGGCCATTGCTGCACTTCATTTGCTGTGAAGTGAGTCCCTTGATCCAAGGTGATGCTGTGTGGGATACCATGACAGTGGATAAGGTGTTCTGTAAGTCCATGTATGATACTTCTGGCAGAAGCATTGTATACCAAAAAAAAAAAACACTGCTGTCAGGTCGATGGCGACTTTTCACCACCCTATAGGACAGAGTAGAACTGCCCCGTAGGGTTTCTAAGGCTGTAAATCTTTACAGAAGCAGACTGTGACATCTTTCTCCCATGGAGCTGCTGGTGGTTTCAAACCGCTGACCTTTCAGTTAGCGAAGCGCTTTAACCACTGTCTCACCAGGGCTGCACACACTGTGTGCAAGGAAGGCAAAGTGTATCTAGGGTAAGTGTCTATTACAGTAAGAACAAAATGCTGCCCTTTTCATGATGGAAGTGGTCCAATGTAATCAACCTGCCAACAGGTTGCTGGCTGATCACCTCGAGGAATGGTGCCATATTGGGAACTCAGTGTTGGTTTCTGCTGCTGGTCGACTGGGCACTCAGCAATGGCTGTAGCCAAGTTGGCCTTGATGAGTGGAAGTCCATGTTGCTGAACTTATGCATAACCTCCATCACTGCCACCATGGCCACTTTGCTAGTGAGCCCATTGGGCAGGGCCAGGACTGGGTGGTGAAAGAGGATGGCTGGTGTCCACAGACGTGTTATCCTATCCACTTGGTTGTTACAATTCTCCTCTGCTGAGATCACCCTTTGGTGATGTCATGGATTGAATTATGTCTCCAAAAAAAGTGTGTATCAGTTTGATTGGGCCATGATTCCCGGTATTGTGTGATTTTCCTATATGTTGTAAATCCTGCCTCTATGATGTTAACGAGGGAGGATGGGCGGCAGTTGTGTTAGTGAGGCAGGACTCAATCTACAAGATTGGATTGTATCCTGAGGCAATCTTTTGAGATATAAAAGAAAGAAGAGAGCAGAGAAACAGGGACCTCATATCACCAAGAAAGTAGTGCCAGGAGCAGAGCATGTCCTTTGGACCCCGAGTCCCTGCACAGAGAAGCTCCTAGTTCGGGGGGACATTGATGAGAAGGCCGACAGAGAGAAAGGCTTCCCCTGGAGCTGATGCCCTGAATTCGGACTTTTAGCCTACTTTACTGTGAAGAAATAAATTTCTCTTTGTTAAAGCTATCCACTTGTGGTATTTCTGTTGTAGCAGCACTAGATGACAGACAGGTGAGCATTCACATAAGACACAAATATCTTCACTTCTCTGGCCTAATTCAGAGCGATCTATCCACATACCTCTTCTCCATACCTCCTTGTCTCCAATTTTCCAATCATGTTCCTTCCAAGTCCTTGACCATCCAGCCAAACCATTGGCTACAGCCCATGAATCAGTATACAAATATACATCTGGCCATTTCTCCTGTTTGAAGCTCTGCCCCATTGGGAGAATTTCCCTCATTCAGGGAGGTCCCAGAAAGGGGCTGTAGTGCTGCCACTGTCCATTTGTGAGTGGTTCCTGCGTGTCACACAGAACCATCTGTAAACCAGGCACAAGTTTTCTCTTTCTCAGTCAACTGTTCATAAGGAACTCATGAGGCCGTAAGTGCAGACGGGGAGATGAAAGGTAATGTGATAGGAGTGGAGACCATGGGTATTTGGGCCACTTCCTCATGCAACTTACTTGTGCCTTCAGGTCCTGCTTGGGCCTGATCTCGTATATACCACTTTCATTTAATGATGGAGTGCTGCTGTGCACATCCACCTTTATGGCTTTGTGGGTCAGACATCACCCAATTCATGATGGGCAGCTCAGGCCACATGGTGACTTGGTGGCCCATGATTTTCAGTCTCTATTAAGGTCCCATAACAAGCCAAAATCTGTTTCTCAAAAGGAGAGTAGTTATCTGCAGAGGATGGCAGGGCTTTGCTCCAAAATCCTAAGGGTCTGTGCTGTGATTCAGCAATAGAGGCCTGCCAAAGACTCCAAACAGCATCTCTATCTGTGACTGACACTTCAAGCACCACTGGATCAGGGGGATCATATGACCCAAGGGATAAAGCAGCTTGCACCATAGCCTGAACCTGTTGCAGAGCCTTCTCTTGTTCTGGGCCCCACTCAAGACTAGCAGCTTTCAAGTCACTTGATAAATAGGCCAGAGTAGCGCACCCAAATGAGGAATACATTGCCTCCAAAATCCAAAGAGGCCCACCAGGCATTGTGCCTCCTTTTTATTTGTGGGAGGGGCCAGATGCAATAACTTATCCTTCACTTTAGAAGGAATATCTTCACATGCCCCACACCACTGGACCCCTAGAAATTTCACTGAGGTGATAGGCACCTGAATTTTTGTTGAGTTAATTTCCCACCCTCTAGCACGTTAATGTTTTACCAATAAGTCCAGAGTCATTGACAATTCTTCCTTCCAATCAGCATAATGTCATCAATGTAATGGACCAGTGTGACATCTTCTGGAAGGGAAATGCTATCAAGGTCCCTGTGGACTAAATTATGACATAGTGCTGGAGAGTTGATATACCCCTGAGGTAGGACAGTGGAGGTGTATTTCTGTCCTTGCCAGATGAAGGCAAACTGCTTCTGTGTTCCTTCAAAACCAGAATGGAGGAAAAGGCATTGGCCAGATCAATAGCTGCATACCAGGTACCAGGAGATGTATTAATTTGCTCAAGCAAAGAAACCATGTCTGGAACAGCAGCTGCGATTGGAGTCACCATCTTGTCAAGTTTACTATAATCCACTTTCAGTCTCCAAGATCCATCTGGTTTTTTTGCACAGGCCAAATAAATGAGTTGAATGAGGATGTGATGTGGTGGGAATCACCACCTGTCTTAGTCATCCAGTGCTGCTGTAATAGAAATACCAAAAGTGGATGGCTGTAATAAAGAGAAGTTTATTTCCTCACAGTAAAGTAGGCTAAAAGTCCAAATTCAGGGCGTCAGCTGCAGGGGAAGGCTTTCTCTCTCTGTCGGCCTTCTCATCAATCTTCTCCATACTAGGAGCTTCTCCGCAAAGGGACCCTGGGTCCAAAGGATGTGTTCTGCTCCCAGAACTGCTTTCTTGGTGGTATGAGGTCCCCACTGTCTAC